TAGGGGGCTCGAATCCTACCACCCACCATCGCCGAGGTCGGGATCATCTTCCCTCGGTGGAGGCAACCGCCGATATTGGTGTTGGCGCCAACTTCTAAGCCTCCCACCACGTGCACCTTCTCTGCCTCTCTTTGGTCTGGCCCGCCTTCTATCCTCCCTCCTCGGCTTTCTAGAAAAGAGAGAAAGAGAGAGAGAGAGAGAGAGAAAGAGAGAGAGAGAGAGAAACAACAAAAAAAGAAGGCAGAGATAGAGAGATGGTCGAATGATTGCGTTGCACCGCCGGTACCTCAGCGATGCGGCGCGATCTGAAGCCTGATGTTCTCCAGCCCTGCCTGGTACATCGGCGATGCGGCGCGATCCCCCGACCGCATCTCTCTGGCCCCAGTTGTGCGGTTTCCATTGGGATACGGTACCCAGCACCTCGCGGCTCTCGCCATCAGGAGGTTGATGGCAGTTAGGCCGGCGTCTGCCCAGGCATGGTCTGTTTGTGAGCAGGGGGCGCCCCTGGCCGAACCCAGAATAGCGGAGCTGCCTGGGACTGCCGCGTGTGTACCTGCGCCTCGAGGATGGACCAGGGTCGCGTCCGCATCCCCTCCCATTTTCCCTCCGTCGTGTGGTCAGGGCTTCCCCTTCCTTATACAGATGCCTCCCCCCTTGCTGGATTCCCCTTCCGTGCACCACCAGCCCCAGTTTGATTGTCCCCTCTTCCGTGTATACGTGTGCGCCGCAGCCCGGTCCGATTCTCCTTGTTTTTGCGGTGATGCGACACACGGCAATCGCCCACTGGTCGACCCGTGGGAGGCAAGCGTCCCGGCGAAAAAATGCCCCTGTCCTTGCTTGTCTTCTTGCCCGCCCCCCTCCAGGGCCCCAGGGGGGATAAGGGGCCGAGGGGGCGGCGGAGACGGCACCCTCGGGGAAGGGAGGATGATTGGGAGGGGGAGGAGGGGGGGGTCGGAGGGGTTTGTGGTGTCGGAGGCGTGGTTCTTAGAGGGCTCGGGCTTCCCATACATTCTCCATTGGTTGTAAAGAAGCCTGCAGCCAGAGGGGGGCGCGAAGGCAATTAAGAAGTTCACCAAGTAGAAGCTTCCCCAGGCTTCCAAGAACGGCCCAGATGGGAGGCTTGTGAATTTTTTCCCCTACCCCGATGGCTCCCGTTAGTGCGTCAGGAGCAGGACTGTAGGATCGCAGTCGCTCGAGGAGGATTTTCAGCGATTTCGCATCTCGCGCGGTGCGAGGTGCGCGACAGCGGCCCCGCCGCCGCGCGTGCCGCCCTCCCCGCGGCGGTGGGGCCCACCTCCTCTCCACTCGCGTCATGCGGAGGCGAGTGGAGCATTGCTGGCGAGCGTGTCCTTCGCGGAACCCTCGATCCGCCCCCGAGATCCTTGGCACCCCGCGCGGCGCCCTCGGGGCGCGAGCCCCGAGCACCCTGCGCGACATGCCTTCCAAGGGTGGCGGCAGTATCGGAATCCAACCCAGTGTTCTCGCCGTGCTTGGTGTTGTGGTGCTACTGCTCGTCGTGCTGGTCACTTTTGTGCTGCTGGCCGTCGTGCACTTCTGGCCTTCTTCCACGCGGCAGCTGGTTCTCGTCGTTGTAGTGGTCCTGCTTGTATAGTGTCGGCTGCTTTTGGTGGTGGCTGCCGTGGTTTTCTCCTTTGCCGCTGGCCGCGGCGAGGAGGCGCTGCGTCCAGCGTCTCCGTCGGTCTTCTGCACTCTCTGCCAAGTCGGTCTTCCGTTGTTCGTTGTGTTCGTGCTTGTGTGGGTCGCATGGTCGCTCCTGGCGTCGATGATCTGTGTGCATGTCCATGTCCTGCGTCGGCGGCGTCCCGCTCGGCGGTGGGGCTGCGTGATCGTCGACTACGGCGACTTGCGCTCTGGAGGTCGCGGCCCTGGGGCCCACCGCCTCTCCACTCGCGTCTTGCGGAGGCGAGTGGAGCATGGGTGACGAGCGTGTCCTTCGCGGTGCTCTAGTTCCGCCCCCGAGATCCTTGGCACCCCGCGCGGCGCCCTCAGGGCGTGAGCCCCGAGCAGTCGTTCGAGGAGGATGAGGATGCGGAGGGGGAGGAGGAGGAGGACCTTTGCCCCCTCAGGTCTGAAGAGCACAGAAAACAAGCTTGTGACATATGTAGCCTACAGACAGCTGAGCAAGCAATTAGCTAACATAGTCAACCACATCAAACGAGGATTTGTTAGTACACGAAACTTTGAAAACAACATCGTCGAGCTTGACGTATACAGCCGTACATCTATATATATATATAGAGAGAGAGAGATTCATTCTAATAAATCCGAAAGATGCTTGGTGGGTTTGCGGGGGCCCCCGGTCCCCAGAGCCCTCAGAGAACCCCGAAACGGCTCCGGAGGGCCCGGAAGGGCTCGAAACGGCACCGGAGCTCCCCAGAAGAGCCCCGAGACGGCCCATGGAGGCCCCGAGACGACCCAAGACGGCTTTCAGGCGGTCCAAGATGTTCTCCAGGCGGCCCCATGAGCCCCAAAGACGCCCCCGAACGGCTCCAGGCGGGTCCAAGGGGTCCCCCGAAAGGGCTCCATCAAGCAAAAATCGTCGCATTCCTTCTGGAAATTTACATTTTCAGCAGATTCGGCTCATTGGTCTTCGAAGCGTCCCAAACGGCCCCAGAGGCCCCCAATATCGCCCAAGACGGCCCCCAAGAGGGCCCAAAGATGGCTCCAGACGGGCCCATGACGGCCCAAGAGGCGCCCAAGACGACCCAAGAGGACCCCACGAGAGGCCCAAGAGGGGCCCAGGACAGCCCCGACACGGCCTATGGAGGCCCCGAGGCGACCTCAGGCGGCCCAAGATGCTCTCCAGACGGCCCCATGAGCCCCAAAGACGCCACCGGACGATTCCAGGCGGGTCCAAGGGGTCCCCCGAAAGGGTTCCTTCAAGCTAAAGTCGTCACATTCCCTTTAGAAAATTGATATTTTCAGCAGATTCGGTTTCTTATTTTTCGAAGCGTCCACAACGGCCCCAGAGGCTTCCAAGACCGCCCAAGACGGCCCCCAAGAGGGCCCAAAGATGGCTCCAGACGGGCCCAGGACGGCCCAAGAGGCGCCCAAGACGACCCAAGAGGACCCCACGAGAGGCCCAAGAGGGGCTCAGGACAGCCCACGATGGCCCCAAGACGGCCCGATAGGCGCCCAAGATGGCCCAAGACGGCCCCAAGACGGCCCACGAGGCGCCCTGCCGGCCCAAGAGGGCTCCGAGAAGCCCCTGAGGAGCCCAAAACAGCCCCCATAGAGCTCCCAAACGGCTCCCAAGAAGCTTCAAAATTGCTTCCTTCCAACAGAGGGGGGCGGACGAGAGGCGAGAGGCCCCTCGCGGGCGCAAAACAATGTTTTGACGCTTAGGTGGCCCTGGGGCTGCCCCGCTGCGCTCCGTACTTTGCCGCGACGCCGTGCGGGCGCCTCCGACGCGGCCCGAGACGGCGCCGCGTTTGCCCGAACCCGCTCCCGCGTCCGCCGCGATCCCGGCGCGAATCTTCCAACGTTGCTCAGGCCTGGACTCCTGAATTTCTGCCTCCTGCGAAGCTCGAACACTTCGGCCCCCGTTTTGATGCATTGGGCGCCTTCGGTGGGGGGAACAGCATTAGAACAAGCTTCAAGGGATCTACGGCAGTAGCTGGCAGCGTCGCACCACCCAGCGCACGCCACCATGCTTCGATCCTCCCACCTTCGTGGATTTAATCCACGGGTCCACACTAGTGTGTGTATATATACATATGTGTATATACAAACACACACACACACACCTATATGTATATATATGTATATCCCATGCAGCAGAATATCCCCGCAGCTATGCTTCCCATGGTTGGATTTGATTATGGTCAGGCCTTCCCCAGTGTAGCCCACAGCTGGGTCCTCAAAGTAATCAATGCGATGGTCCTCAAGTAATCAATGCAGATGTTCACGGTTTTCCTCCTGTCGGGCGTGTGTTGTTACGGCGCCTTCCGCTCCGAGACCGCGCTCCTCTGCTGAACCTTCTGCGGGATCATCCAAGGATGCCTGAGATCGGGCTGCACCTTCGCGCTGGCCGCTGATCCCTACATGAGTGACTTCGACAGGTCCATCTGTCTTGCTGACCGTGGTGCGGTTCGTGCATGTGCTGATGACATAAGAGCGGCGCTCAAGGACATGCGTTTCCTAAAGATAATGTGCATAATATTCGTTGTAGCCAAGAAAACTTCGGCGTTGACGCTGAAGATGTGCAAGTGAGAAATTGTGCCCCTCGCCAGTGGCTTCTCTCAGTGCTTGGCATATGAGTGCCAGTCCGCGCTCGCCATCCTCGTCGACCGACCACTGCTGGCGCGTCCCGTCGACCAAATGGCGTTCCCGAGCGACTGAGCTGGCCATGACAGGCGCCCCGTTCCGTGTGCAGGCATTTCTTTACTCATCTATTGTATTTTCTGTCTTTTCCTTTGTCGGTCAGTTCCATCTTCCTCTCTCCACCCCTAACGCTGAAGCTGCTTTGGTATCCTCCCTCTTTCACACAGTTTTGCGCGCTCCCGCGCAATGGATGGTTTAAGCGGGCTGGCTGAGGAAGCCCCACGATCCCCACCTCAGTTGCCTTCGGTGCTGAGAGCGGCCAAGTCTTACCTCACTGTTTGGGAGCACCTCGTTCCCCAACTCACTGCTGCTGCTGACGTGATCCTGTTGCTCTGGGAGCTGGCGGCCCGCAGGCTGGCCCCGAATGTTTGGATCCAACCGTCATTCGCCGAATTCCTTCAAAATGCCGCGGCTGGTTTTCCGAAGACCTCGGCGTTGAGCTCCTCACCTCGTCTTCCGTCCTTCGCTCGCGACTTGCCGACGCTTCTGCCCTGGCCGTGTCTCTCGCCCATTCATTCTTCTTCGAGAATGCTCACGCACGCCGCCCGAAGATTCAGGGTCTCATGTACGCTGCTCTATATGGCACGGTGCGTACTGACGATTGGCAGCGCACATTTGTGAATCGATTGTCGTCGTGGCCCCCGCTCGCCCCGCAGGTCAGAGACAATTTTGCGGCCGCAAGCTCGCGATGTGCTCCAACAGATGTCCCTGCCGACGGCCGTTGTTGTCCTCAGAACCTGGCTCGGCGCTTGGACCGCAGCCCGACGGTTCCAGCAAGCAGAGCCCTGTCTTTTTTGTGGCGCAGGCGATGACAGCTTCAAGCACAAGTCGTTTTGCCATATATTTATCGAGCTCATGTCCCTCTCATCTTCCGGGGCCTCTTCAGCTGGCCTTTTCCCTTGCCCATTCCATCCCGTGCAGTTGCTCGCCTCGGTTTTTCTGATTCATCCCCGCTCGCTCTCATCACCACAGTCGCCGCTACAATCTTGCGCCAGCAATTGCGTGGCATCCGAAGCGGTGCCCTTGTCTCCCAGCAGGGAACGAGGCAGGCCATTCCCACAATGAGATGGTTCATGCGGCGAGCCCAGAAGCGGCGATGGCCAATTGACCTTCATTCCGCAGGCCACGTGCGAGAAAGCGGAGGGGGAGGAGGGGGAGGAGGAGGAGGGCAGGAGGGGGTGGAGACGAGGCGGAGGGGGTGGCGAAGGAATTCGATGAGGGCGCGGCTTCTTTCATTCGTACTACTACTTGTTAGTATCATCGCTAGTATTAGAATTCGCATTCTTATTTGAATCGTTAGTATTATTGCGACTCGTATGTATTATTGTCTTGGTTCGTATTGTTGATATTCCGCCCAGCCCTCGGACACGCCAAAGTGCTTTTGGGTTTGATCCTGTCGGTGGCTGCGGGTCGGGGGATGCGGATCATGATGATGATGATGATGATGATGATGATGATGATGATGATGATGATGATGATGATGATGATGGGGATGGTGATGGTGCGGGTGAGTGTGGGGGTGATGATGATGATTACGGTGGTGATGGTCATGGTGATGGAGATTGTGATGATGACGATGAGGATGGTGATGGTGATGTGGATGATGGTGATGATGATGATGACGATGTTGATGATGGTGATGGTGATGCTGGTGATGACGGTGATGACGGTGATGACGGTGATGGTGTTGGTGATGGTCATGATGATGAGGAGGGGGAGAAAGCATATTAATAATAATAATAATAAGAAGAAGAAGAAGAATATTACTACTAAGCATAAAAGAAGAGGGCGCGCTGTTGGAGCGGCGGCGTATGGCGCACTTCGCGACAGGCCCGCGAGGTTGACGGCGGCTGCGGGCTGGCGTCGGCGGCCAGCGGCAGCGCGGACGAAAGACCGCTCGTTTCCGTTTCCCCGCCTGGTCCTTCCAGTACGGGCGCGGTGCCATGGCGGCAATTTGATGGGACGCATCGCAGCAGGAGGAGGGCGATGAGGACGGGGACGGGGAGGAAGAGGGCGGCAGGGCTAACACGGGGTCCCTGAAGCAATCGGTGGACGGAACAATGGAGGAAGGAAGACGAGGGGAAAGAGGGGGAAGAGGAGGACGGGGAGGAGGGAGATTGTGCCTAGGATGAGGAGGGAAAAAAGGGCCCCGAAAGAGAAAGGGGAAGGGGGCTGCGGAAAAGGTGAACTAGGAGGACTACGAGGAAAGTGCAGATCCCGATGTGCAAGTGGGAAGGAGAGGGAGGGGGGGGGTCTTTTCCTATTTCGCCTTCTCCTGCCCTTTTTCCCCTCCTTGTCCCCCCCCCGTTTCCATGGCCCCCACCTTTGTCCCCGTATTACCCTCCTCACCATTTCTCCTCCTCTTCCCACCGCTGTTCCCTTCTCTCCGGATTTCTTCAACCCCGCCAGGGATACACATTAACCGCCAATAGCAAAACTAATACCGAGCAGGTCTGACGCGTGCGAAGACATATTTGCTCTTCCCCTCCTCCCTCGCTCCACGCGTCCTGCGGCGTGGGTCCAATCGAGCTACTGCCAGCCCCCCCGCCATCAACGGCAAATCCAGACAGCTAATCCAGCAAACCGACACATCACCAAATTTGTGTGCCAGAGTGTGAATCAGGCTCTCGGTCGTTGCACTTGTGCGCCCGGAGTTGCGGGATATGGGGTGCAGTCTGCGTGCTTTTTTGGGGGTGTTTGAAAATTTGAGGTCGCTAGCTCCAGCGCTCGAGCGAACATCCCACCTGGCTACCCGCACATTCATGTCGCAACTCAAATTGGAGCAGCGGCACGAGGGCTTTGATCGCGCAGTTCCATGACACCAAAACCCGTGATGATGGTGACGACGACACTGGCGACGACGACGACGACGACGACACTAATGATGACGACGATAAAGGTGATGATGGTGATGATGATGATGATGCTGATGGTGATGGTGATGATGTTTGTGGTGGCGATGATGCCGAAAGCGGCGACAACGACGATGGTGACGACGTTTGTACTGATGACGACGACGGTGGTTGTCATGAAGAAGAGTGTTGTGATTCTGGCGATACGAATGATGGCGTTGGCAGTGATGATGGCGATGGCGCTGCTGAGGGCGATGGTGAGGACGCGTGCGCGCGCAGGAACGCTGCCATATGTTTCGTGACAGACCAGGCGCATGATCGCCTCTTCCCCAATATATTTAGAAGCGTAAGGGCGCGCGCGTGTGGCCCGCATGGCGTTGTTTGACAGGGTTGGCGGGTGCGCGATGAGTGATGAATAATTTCGGCCTGCGCGTGCGTGCCGCACGCATGTTGAATTTGTCCGTATCGCGAACGCAGTCTTTATGATTCCACCAAGCGCGTGTGCACTGGCGGTTCCGTGCTCGCCGTCGCCGCCCCGTCGCCGCCTCGTCGCCGCCTCGTCGCTGCCCGTCGTCGGGGGGGGGGGGCGGCTCGGTCTGGCGGCTCCTTGCTCGCCGTCGCCGCCCAGTCGCCGCCGCGTCGCCACCCGTCGTCTGGGCCTGATTGCCGACGTGGCGGCTGGCACCATGTAGATTCTTTTTTCCAAGAGGAAATTCCGTTCTACCTCCCCCCCCCGGGCTGTATCAGGTCATGCCCACAGCCGGGAACACATTCAGAGCTTCGACGAAATAGTTGTCTCATTTTTCTTGCGTTGGGTACTCGTTTTGAAAAGGGCACTGCGCGCGTGTCTCCTCCGCCTCCCGCCTCCCTCCTCCTCTCCTCTTCTCTCCTGCCTCTCACCTCGCTCCTTCCTGCGTGCCAGCTTGCCTCATACCTGGCCATCCCTGATGGGCTGCGATCTGGGACACTGTTGCTACTTTCAAGAACATGTTGGGGGTCCAGCGGAGTAACGTCTTAAGAAAAACCTCGCTGTCCCTGTGGGGCTGCCATTTGCGAAGCTGTCGCCACGGAGTGGCGTCTTACCCAGACTCGAATGAGACCTCGCCATCCAGGGGGGGCTGCGACCTGCGAAACGGTCGCCACTTTCGAGGGCTGCTGGGGGGTGCAGCGGAGTGAGTGGGGCTGCGATCTGCGAAACTGTCGCCATTTTCGAGGGCTGTTGGGGGGTGCAGCGGAGCGACGTCTTTCCCAGACTCAGATGCGACATGAGGCCTCGCCTTCCCTGTGCGGCTGCGATCTGCGAAGCTGTCGCCACTTTCGAGGGCTGCTGGGCGGTGCAGCTGAGTGGCGCCTTACCCAGTTCCAGTTGCCATCCCTGTGGGGCTGCGATCTGCGAAACTGTTGCCACTTTCGGGAGTTGCTAGGGGGTTGTCGAGCTGAGTGGCGTCTTACCCAGACTCAAATGCGACCTCGCCATCCCTGGGGGGGTGCGATCTGCGAAATTGTCGCCACTTTCGAGGGCTGCTTGGGGGGGGATCGAGCGGAGTGACGTCTTACCAATATTCACATGGGGTAGCTATAAGCATGTTTGATTATTTTGTTCGAGCGCCGCGGCGGCACGGTGCAGGCAGCGCTGCATCTGTGGCGATCCAGCCACCGACAAAAACAACACTGTTCGGTCTGCTCCCGCTCCTTTCGTCGTCGTCCTCTGCCCCCTGCCACCTTCCTTCTGTTGCTGCCGTGCTGACGGTTCGCCCCCCCCCCCCCCCCCCCCCACCCACGAGTCCTTATCATGTTCTTCGTTCCCGCCACGATGTCCTCCTTAAGCCTGGGCTTTCGCTCCATAGGCCGGCTGTACGAAGATGTCGCTTTGGAAACGGGTATCCGACAGGGATGCCCATTGTCGCCGTTGCTTTTCGCGCTGACATCCGACAGCCTCCTGCGTATTCTCGAGCTGCGGCACCCCTCAGCGACAGCCAGGGCATTCGCTGACGACACTGCGATGGTCCTACGCTCGTGGGTTCGTTACCGTCAGGGTATTCGAAACGCTGTCCAACCTGTCGCTGAACTTGGCCAAGACGATAGTCATCCCGTTATGGGACGCATCGGACAAATATCTGGAACGGCTACAAAAATGGCAATGGAGCGAACTGGGGCTTCACCTGGCGATGATGACCTGCAATGTGTTTGTCTTGCCGGTACTCCTATATGTTGCTCAACTAGAAGCACCTCCGCAGGCTGTCCTGGAAATGGAAGCGGCTGCCGTCCGCAAAGTGGCGCCTGGGCCGGGATGGTGGTGCACGCCAGCCGACATGCAGCACTGCTCGGACCTGGGTCTCTCAGCGCGGATGCGCCACTTGCGCGCCTCTTGCCAAGTCGCCATGCTCCGGACACACGCGTGGTAAGCCCGCAGCACAGGAAGCACTCCCTGGAACCAATTATCACGTCAGCTGGCAGAGGCGCGGGCTCGCGCCGATCATCTGACTTTGAGAAGATGCTGCCTTCCATGGTTCGCTCAACACACTCCGACTGTGGTTACCAAGCTGGTTGATGCGCAGGCGGCCGAGGGGGTCCACGTTCATGCCGCCCGATCCGCCCTTGGAGGGGCTATTGCCGGGCCGCTCACACGCCCGGCGGACCAGCGCTTCAAGAAGGGGACGCAGAGGTGGATGACCGGGTGCTTGGTCGCGCAAGACAAATATTGCGTGGAACGGCGCCTACGCGCACGGCTTGCTCGGTGGCGGCTCCCTGGCTACCCCGGAAGGACGGCGCGGCGGGCGGCGCGCCAATTGGTCCGCTTGCGCCGGCAGGCGCCGCCTAGGCTTTGCGCAGCGACATTGAGCACTGAGAACGGATCGGCGCATGCGAAGCCTACGAGTCAACCAGCGCCCGTGCATTTTGGGGTGCAACAAAACGGATTGTGAGTTTGTGGAGCATTATTTTCATTGCCCTATGTGGCTCGATTGGCAGCGATCGCGCCTCGGGTATTCAGTCACTCATCATCGCTTGGCTCAGCCGTCTTGGGCGTTGACATGGACGACCAAGCTCTTTGTCTCCAAGCAGTTTTTACCTACGTGCTGTATCGAACAGTCAACCACATTCGACACCGTAGGTTTCGGGACGCTCAGGCCCGGTCAGCATACATCAAGCAGTTCATGAACCAATTTTTGCACGAGGCCTGTCGGGGACACGGTCGGCTCCGCCAGGTATGTCAGGGCAGCGGCAGCTCCCGCCCACTACGACGACCGCGCGCCGACGAGGCTGCCGAGCGGCCAGCCCGTCGAGTCCGACGACGACTACAATAACACACCCTCCTCGCCTATCTTCTACTTGTGTTCACCTCGTCCTCGTGCCCGCCGACGCAGCTCTACACGCGCAGATTGATCCGACGTCCCAGAGCGAGGGGGGCCACGGCGAGGGCGCGGGACTGCTTCCATCTTTGATCCGACCTCTACGCCCCCTTCGTTTCCAAACGCGCAAATGTTATTTCATACCGGCCGCGCAAAGATCTCCAGCATTCGACTCTCCACTTCCACATCCACCTATCGACCTCCAGCGCCCACAGCTCAACATCGCGACCTCCAACCTCCAGCATGCGACTCTTCACATTTGTTCACAGGAGCATGCGCCTCCTCTGGGTAAGCAGGCTATCGGCCACGCGGCGGGGGCAGATGCCTGGCGCTCCAATGTGATCCTTGTGGTCGCAGGTTGACGGCGAGCACGGCGAGCCTGGCGCAGGGCGTGGCATTCGACCCGCCGCGGCGCGAGAGGAACTCTTCACTTCCACCTCCACCGATCGACTTCCCTACCCCCACCAGCTCAACATTACGACCTCCAACCTCTAGCGTCCGACTTTCCACTTCCACCTTCACCTATCGACCTCCAGCCCATCAGCCCATCAGCTCAACATTACGACCTCCGACCTCTAGCACACGACTCTCCACTTCCACCTCCACCAATCGACCTCCAGCGCCCACCAGCTCAACATTTCGACCTCCAACCTCCAGCATGCAACTTTCCGCTTCCACCTCCACCGATCGACCTCCCTACCTCCACCAGTTCAGCATTCCAACCTCCAACCTCCAACATTTGACTCCCTACTAACCGACCTCAGCGTCCACCGGGTC